GACCACAAAGATGCAAAATAAAAAAAAATAAAAGCCAAATCACCCCTCTTCCTACCCACACTACGAGCTCTCTTCAGAGATATCCACAGTTCATAATTTCTTATGCTTTCCTTTCTTCCTGGAAAAACGGTGATGATAGCTTTCCTCTCTTTTCTCTTTTTTCACTCTCTCTCTCTCTCTGATGTGTATGTGCATACACATATGTGTATATGTGTGTATACATGTCTATATAGACACTCATACACGTATATGCTTAGTTTTGTTTTCACAAAGACCTTTGTATTAACACATCATGTATACCTTTTTTCAATAAAAATGTATTCAATGTGTATTAAAGATTATTACCATTGTAACACATATATACTTATCTAATTCTTCTTAACGGCTATTCCAACACGTGTGCCCATAATTTACTTGACCAGTCTGCAGTGGTGACATTGTTTCAATCATGTTGAAGTTTGTGCTGTTACCAGGATGCTGCCATCCTACCCACAGGTTTCACCGAGTCTGGTGACACTGTGGATGATGTGAATTCCTAACAGGGATTGCTGTAGGGGGTGGGCGTGTGACCCAGCCCTGGCCAATGAGACAGGAGGAGTGGGGAGCTCGGGAGCAAGTAGGAGGAGCCTCCTCACATTCAGGAAGGAGGTCTGGAACAGAGGCTCTTCCCAGGCTCTTTCTGCCTCTGGATGTTGGTGTTGATGTGATGTCTGGAGCTGTTGCAACCACTTTGCCACCAGCTCAAGGCTGAAGCTTCAAGAACAGAAAGATAAGGCTGAGAGAATCCCAGGGAAGTAGAGCTGGATACTGGGACTTCTGTCCCTGGAGCTTGTGTCGCCCAGGGGCTCATCATGAGGGCAGAGCATTCCCTTTGCATTCAAGACATTGTAAATTGGGGACTTGGTTTACATGCAGCTGAAGGCCTCTCACCAGACACTGACGCCCATGCAGGTTTCTTCTGCATGAGTTTCTCCTTCCCTCACGTCCTCTCCAGGTCTCCTCCTACTTTTGTGGCTGGTGGATTTGTCCCCCCCCCTCACGTCCCCTTTGTCCACCCACTATGCAAGAATACTGGGGTCTGCCCACGTTGTCACAAGTGGGTTTTCCAGGAAGCTCACGGTGTTTAAGTGCAAGGCTCCTCACAATCGAGAAAAGGGTCTGAGTGGGGCGGAGCAACAGGTGTTCTTGGCTGGATGTTTTGTACAATTTAAAAAGTCAAGTATTTACACTGCAGTTATTTAAGGGCTTTGCCTCTTTTTACTGTGACTTTCTCTTTCCGATTCTCCTCCTGCATGCTGTGCGGGTGTACACAGGCATTTTGGTATCTGGAGAAGAGGAAGGTGATTTGGGATGCATTTAGCCCGGGGTGAGGGGAACACCCCTGTGCCTCTCAGTCACTCCTGGGCATAGTCACGTTGTCTCTAGTGGTCCTGCTGTGAAAGTGGCCCCAGGCCCGGCCCCGGCCCCACCACCCACCGAGGATTTGATCCAAAGCAGCAGGGACAGAGGTGGCTCCTGGGTCACAATGTTTCCCTGCACAGCACATGGGAAGCCTGTGATCAGTGCAGAGGAAACACGGTTTGCAATGTGTGGGGCCGGAAGTCAGTGTAGAAAATTATTCCCAGCAGAATCATGGGCACTTGTGAGTGGATGACCTGGTTCTTTTTCACACTTAGTCAGAAACGGAAGGTTTTTCCTGTTGAAAATGTACTCAGTAATCTGATCTGTATAATTAGTGCACCATGTAGTTGTTTTTTACTTTTGATGGGAACTTTGATAGAAATCTTGATTTTTGAACATTTGTAGAGCACAGACCTTTGTTTTGAAACTGCCCACAGCAAGGACATATACGTGTAGGTGGCACAGACCCAGCAGATGGGAACCATCCTCCCTCCCCCTCTTATCCTGATGACGTCTGGCAGCTCCAGGCAACACAGATGTAATATTGCAACCTACAGGTGAGACGGCTTGAAAGATACTTGTTTGAGGACACACTTTGCCTGCACATTCAGTGAGCTAATCAATAGAGCACATGATGATGCATTTGCAGTATTTTGAAGCTCACTACAACAGTGACAGTGTGAAAATGCTGCAATAGTGACACTGTCAATAAAGTCTTTAAGATCCTAAATCTTAAGTGAAGAACATTTAGAAAGTACTAACATCTCAGAGCTTGCCTGTGAAAGGAAACTGAGTCTTTTCCAAATTAGACAATAATCAAAAAATTGCATGATATTACAATTGTGAGTCTTAAATTAGAGTGAAAATATTATATGCCATCAATTTTACAAGTGATTAAGCCCGTACTGGAAAAAACTGGCTTATCTTTCTGCTATATTTATAGGAAACTCTGTTACTGAATCAATGTCATATGAGGCAAGTAGGGATTCTTTAGGTAATCAGGAAACATAGGAAGAAATTATTTTGTTTGTGTCAAGTAGCTAATTATTTTTTAAAAGTTATACGAGATAATAAAGGTCATATGGATGAAGGAAGAGCAAATCTGCCCTTCCATCTGCAGGGCGGTGGGATGGACTGATGGGGTCAAAGCCAGCGGCATCATGAGCAGGAAACAATGTGTCACTCAAGCTGCAGCTTTGAAATGTCAAGCCGCCTCTTGCTTGGCTGATGGCTTCTTTCTGACTCAATGGAAGACCTTGTTCTCTAGCATCAGGGGCTGTCAGAAACTTTGTTTATGAGTAAGAAGAACATCCCACTGCCTGGAGAGTCTATATCCACCTTTACACAGAAGCACAGAGCTACACAGAAGGGGTTTTGGGACAGAACGTTCCGTATCTGGCTGGACTTCATGGGTTCTGAGGACATAGGGCCTAGGTCCACTTTGCAGACCACACCTGACCGTGGCTCCTTTATGCAGAGGCCTGCCATGCTCTAAGTACATTAACCTAGCCTCAAAATCCACGCCTCCAAACCTGTAACCTCATTCCCTTTGTTTGTTGAGTCATCCGAGGATCCTCGGTGCCACGCTATTCCCTTACTGCGACGAGCCAGTACTGAGTCTTTTGACTCCGGTACTGATTTTGGTGGCTGTTTGCACTAGGATGTGTGTTATTTTCTGGATTTTGTGGATGTTTGTGGTATGTCTCAGCATTTTAAAAAGTGAGTATTTTGCTGTAATTTATTTTCTCTTCATGAATAAACATTAACTTTTGTGATTTTTTTTTTGTTTCTAATATTGCCCTATTTTCCACATGGGAAGCTCCGCAGCGTCTTGGTCCACCTGTGCTCGCCGTGCTGAGCATCTACCTGCCCAGGTCTCACACGCCCCAGGCCTCCAGTGCACTCACCCCTCCCTTCAGACTGATTTCTCTGTGCCGAATGAGGCGTTTCTCACCTCTGCAGTTGCAGTTTATACTGCTGATTTAGCGCGTAATTTCTAAGAACTCTTAGAAGAGGTTAATACTTCCAACACGATCTGATCAGGGGACTCCTTTGCACTCCCCTAAAGATTCAGTGGCTTCAGAACACAGCTCACCGCCCATCTCTTGGCCCAGAAGAAGCACCTCCTCACTCTCAGTGTCCCTGCCTCCTGCTCCCCTCCTAGGGAGCAGACACACAGGGAGATGGTGGGGAGAGGCCTGTGCAGAGCCCGGACTTCACTCCCAACTTCCCCAAGGAAGAGAGAATTGTGTTAGGAAAGGGAATGATCTACTCAAAGTCAGCCGTTCACTGTGCGCCTGGGTGGTGGCTGCGTGAAAGGAGATCTCTTATCCACGTGGAAAATTATGAGCACCTTGCTGCACGGAAGACTTTTCCACCAACCACCTCTCCTGGGCACCTCTGCTCTGCCCTCTGCACCTGCCTCCCAGCAGAAGCCTGGATCACTGAGTGCACCCTCCCCCGACAGGGTGAGGCTCAGACTTAAGTCTCCCCAGCTCATGGCTTCCTGGGCGCCGCTTTATTCCCACATCCCAAAGCTTCTTTTTATCCCATAGGGGTGAAAAGGAAATAGAAGCAGATGTTCCCCACTGCTTCTATTCCCCTCCCCTCCCTGGCTTTCTAGGGCGGCACATGGGGTGCTGGCCTCAGGGCTGTTTGGGCAGATTTCCCTTTGGCCTTTCCCCTTCGCTGTGCATGGCAGCAGCCCTTGCTCAATGCAGCTGTAGGTGTGGAAGATATTTGAGAACTCCGCCCCAGAGGCACCTGCCTGAGGGCTACAACCCTCTGTCCAGAAATGGCAAAGGGAAGGGCTGTACAGGGTGGGCTGTGTCTTAGTGGATTTTTGTAGCACAAATACCCACTATCTATAGAATGATGCTGGATGAAAAGGATGCTCTTTATTAAATAGAACATCCTTGGAAGAAGAAGAGTCCACTGCATGCCAGTCCTTCTTGTGTTTCCACTTCTCTATTCCTAACATTAAGCTTGACATGAGGGCTGGTTTTTAAATTCAATGCCAGAGAATGGGTCTGTGGACGTGAATCATTAAAACCTTCATAGGGCCCCACCTCTCAGCATCAGCCACAGCCTCCCAGGATGGGTGACAGCCCACGCTGCTTTCTCTGTGTGATCTTGCCCATCCTTGGTCCGGTTGGCATTTCTGCCAGTCAGTTCACACACACACACACACACACACACACACACACACACACACACACTCTTTTGGACTTTGTTTCCATGTAAGGGCCCAGTCTCCTGTGGAAAGAAGCACACATACATTGCTATGTATTTAGTGTCTAGGGGACTGGAGGAGAGAAGCTGAGTCCCTGGAGTCTGCTCAGCTCTGCAGGCACAGATGGAATCCACAGCCTGGCCAGCTCCTCCGAGGCCTGGCCCCTGCCTGTGGACACAGCCAGCCCCTCCTCCTGGTGTCACCAGGAGCTCAGACCAAAGCAGCAGCCCATCTTCCGGGGCAGCAGCCTGGGCTCCCGTCTCTCCCTGACCCCTCACCAGGGGCTGCTGCAGCTCAAGGCCTGGGTTCTCAGCCCCTGGCTGCTCTCTCCCTGTTTGGAGGCTCAGGTCTCCTAAAGTGGCAGCAGCTCCTCAGATGGCCTTGCTGTGGCCGCGTCAGCTCCCAGATGCTCCTCTAATCTGCACAGCAGCAGAACAAGGAGGCTTTGTGGAAGCCCCGCCTGTGTGCACATGCCCAGACAGCCAAGAACTCAGAGGGAGGCGATGCTACTGTTTTATAGCAGGAGGTGGGTGGGTGGGGTGTGCGGGGCACACAGGGGAGGTAGGAAGCAAGAAGGAAGGGGGGAGGGCAGCGCCCCCTGCCAAGCAACAAAGGCCTCTGTCTGCCGCCTTCTCTGTCTCCTGGTGCAGGCGCATGGGGAGACCTTCCCCAGGGCGGGGGCCACCAGTCCAGGGGTGGGAGTAGGAGGCGGTCAGTGCGGCTGGCTTGGCACAGACCCCTAGGCTTTCTGACACCTGGATTTCACCAGGGACATTCTGTCTTTCCAGGGAACTCTGTAGATCTGGAAAGAGCAGAACTGTTTCTGTGAGGAAAGAGAGAGGGACAATCAGTGTGGGTCACGTTTAAAGGGGAAGGCACTCGGGCACGAGATTTCAGAGTGGGGGTGAGGACCAACCCAGGTGAGACACTTGGCTCCCGCCTTCACCAGCTGAGTCCCAGAACAGTGAACCAGGCTGGGCAGTGACCGTTCCATTGCCCCTCCCAAGGCTCCAAGTCACCAGGTGGCACTGGGCCCCCACCCCAGCCTGAAGAATTCCTGCCCCAGCACAGCCCAAGCCTGTGCAAGGCCTTGGGATCCCCAAGAGCGCAAGGCAGAGGGAAACAGCTCACTGCCCCCAGCTCCTTCCACCTCCAGCACCCAGAGGGCACAGAGGGAAGAGTCTAGGGAACTGGAAACTGCAACTCAAAAGGGTGGCGAGGAGATGACAAGGAGAATGCAGCTCTCCCCTGAATGGAGACCTCACGAGAAATTCCGAGTTCTTGGAGAAGCTGGTATCGGAGCGGGGCAGGTCCAGGGTTTCTCAGCTAAGAGGCATTGAATTCCCTCTAATCTGTTCAGTGAGACCGTGGCTGCGGGCAGGTCCCTGAGGCTGGGATTAGACGGAGCCGCTTCTCACTGACCAGAACCCAGCCCTGCAACTGCCTTCTCCAGCCCAGCAGGCAATACGCAACGCACACAGGGTGGAGCCCCCCAGTACCCCTATTCCCAAGCTAAAGCCCTCTTAGCAAATCAAATTCCTCACCCCTTGCCACACCACTCCATCTGCACACACAGGCCTCTACATAAACTCACACCAACCCTCACCCACACGGATCTATGCGTGAACTCACGTGCTTGCTCCTTCACACATCCAGCCACCCACATGCACACAGTCTCATGCACCTCCCACATGTGGGCACACAGATGCTCCATACTCCACATTCACACACACATGCATGCCCCTCACAACAGGCATCTGCACCTGTGTGCACAAACCCACATGCATGGCTTTCACATATGCACCCATGCTCCATTCCCTTCAAAATGTGTGCAGGAGCACACATGCACACACGCATGTACACACAGGCACACACGTGCACACACACGTGCTTACACACACACACACGTGTGCGCACACATACCCTCTGCACTGCATGACACCCCTGACGTACATCAGGCACACACCTCCTTCAGCTGTGACTGGTCACTGAAGAGACAATTGTCCACACCTGGCTGGGACTTAGTGCGTGTGGTTAGGCTGATCTTCCTATCAAAGAAGTAGTTCACCTCACCCACGATCTCCATGCGTGAGAGAGCAGGATGCATGCGCAGCACGCTGTCAGTTTCATGCACACACAGGCATTTCACTGTGACTGAGTCGCTGGGCTTTCCTGGGGCTTCATGCCTGCATTCATGAACCGCCCACGCTGTCACCGCAAGGAAGACACCTCCTGTTGGCTGGCAGGGGCACCGGGCCCCAGCCTACCTGATCACTTGTTTTCTCTGAGTACCTGAAACAAGGTGTCTCATGCAGCCCAGTAGGAGGAGAAGCAGGAGCAGGGCAGATGGAAACCAGGGCCTGAAACCCCCTTCACTGGACTCAGGAACAGAAAGCACAGCTTTGGGCAGCCAGTCAGGGTGGGACAAAGCAACAGTTTTGGCACCAGGTGTGCGGGGCAGGGTCTAAACTCCAAGAGAATGCTCCTTCCCACAGCAAAGGATTAAGTGAATTCTGCTACCTGTGCTCCAGGGGCAGGGACACTGCAGCCATCCCAGGAAAGCTGTCTGTCACCTGATGATGAAATTTCAGCTAACTTCCAGCTACTGGCATTCGGCCCATAGAGCACCCCATTCCCTCTGTTCACCCAGACTTATTTATCCCTCACGTGCAGCAGGCAATGAGAAGCTTCACACACACAATGTTTTAGGCCAATGACAGACTGCCTCTGTAGCACCGCCCTTGTACGTGTGTTGTTGGAGGCAATATTGCCAAAGGGAGCAGCGCACCTGCATGTCTCACATTTGTGATTGCAGAGTTGAACTGAACCCTTCCCCTGCACAGGGCCTCCTCTAGACATGAACCGTGAGAACTGTGAAGCCATGTGAGGTGAGGAGCCCTGGGAACCACGTGCAAGTCATGAGGTGTCTCCGGTGCCAGTTTGCTCGTCTGTAAAACAGGCTCCAGGGCCCAGTGATCCACAGCATCCCATGCTTCACGCCAAGTGAGTGTCACACTTGAGAGAGGGGTGCAGGCCAGCAGGGACCCTGGCAGCAGGGAGTGCCCCTCATGTGCAGGGAGAGAGCCCCAGCTGACATTGCAGGAGGAGAAACAGGGCTAGTCTGGACTCCTCTGAATTTCCAAGAGAAGGTGGAGAAGCTCCCGAGGCTGTGTCACTGTTTGCTGCTCTGCATGGGATGCAGGTCAAGCTGGGACCAGTAGCCCTCTGGAGCTCCCTCCTGATCTGACCCCCTCCTCCGCTCTCCTGGGTGACTGCTGTCCTCATCTGGCTGAGGTCTAATGCTATGTCAGCTGGCAGAGGCAGGATCAGGCGTGCTCCACCCCAGCAGGAATTCAGCTGCCCTGGGCTTTAGGGGGTGGTCAGCCAGCCTGAGGGTGAAGGCCGCAAGCCCAAAGGATGTGACCCTGGAAGGGAAGCAGGGCTCTGCAGGACAAGGAGCCAGGTTCCCGTGTGGTCCCTGCAGAGAGGACTCAGGGAGGAGGACGATCCTCATGGATTGGATCTCATCCTGAGCAGCGCCAAGCCTACCCCGAGTCAGCACAGAGGCCCCGTCCACCCCTGCTGGACCTGGGGAATGCCAGGGTCACGGCACAGACACAGCAGGCCCTGCAGTTTAAAGGAGGTGGAAGGGACAGGACAGTGGCTACAGTGCATGTTCTGGGACCGGCCTTGGACATGAAGGCCATTAGCAGAGAGTCAGGGAAAGCCGAATGAGTTTGAGCATTAGATCATGAATGTGTCAGTGTTGATTTGCTGGGAATGCTCTTGGGGTAGGGGCAAATCTGGCTGGGACTCAGGACCCCTTGGATGGTGGCATCACCCGCCTGCCGTCGGGCTCGCAGCACCTGCGGGGGTGGCTGTAGTGCTCATCATTGCGCTCCTTGTTGTACTTACTGATGACAAAGTCCAGGGCGCGCTGCAGTCTGTCATTGTTGAGGTCTGTGTCATAGATGTCGCTTTGAGTGATCATTGTAGCCTGAGTTGGGGGACTCTAGGCCAGGGCCACAAACAGGGCAGCCAGCAAGGGCAGTGCAGTGTGCAGGGGCCAGGCCATAGTCTGCCGGGACAAGAGTGAGGAGTGGGAAGTTCAGGAGGGTGAAGGGGCGAGGTCCTGAGTCGGGGAACCCAGCCCAGCAGCAGCCGTGCATTCATCCCCAGCCCACCTCCTTCCACGCCCTGCCTGGGCTCCTCCCTCTCTTCTGCCCACCTGCATTTTCTTTGTCTCCCATTCCATCTCCCCCCACCCCTCTCCCTGCCTAAGTCCCCTGTTCCTAAGTCTCCCTGCCTAAGCCCCCCTGTTCTCCCTGCCTACGTCCCCTGTTCTTCCATGGACAAGGATAGGCTGCTAACATGGATGGGGACACCGGTCAAGGGGCAGGTCTATGGGCAAAATGGTGATCGCAGCAATGGACATGCTGGACTGGTGGTGACCCAAGACAATTGGAATAGGATCAACACTCTCACAATAAAAGAGAGAGAGCTCAACTATGAATATAAAAAGGGCAAGTGAGGATTTACAGCAAGGAGCAGGGAGCAGCATTAATAGATGAAAAATTACTAAGCAGAGACATCAAAGGCAAGAGTTTCTGGCTAAACTGACATAACAAAGTCTTGCTAAAGGCAGGACAGAGCCTTAGACATCAAAGTTGAGGAATGAGGCACCTGATCAGATGTTGAGGGTGATCAGATCCCAAGGGTGGGGGATTCTTTCTAAACTGACTTAGCAGGATTCTTTCCTAAAACGGCAATGCGGCCGTGGCAGGGACAGGAGGTCCGGGGCTGGGGACTAGTTGAGGCCTAGGGGAGAAGAAGGCTCAGAGGAGCTTAACTGAGGTTTGGTCAAGGTGAGTCTTGTCTCTGGATCCAGCTCCTCTGTGACAGGGAGGAGAGGACAGTCAGGGTCACAGAGGGGCAGGCCTGTCCCGATGACCTCCAGCACTCAGTGACTGGGCTTAACAGTATTCCAAGCAGGAAGAGGAACCACTCTCCACAGTCACTGCACTTCGCTAAAGGAATTGATATTTAAGTTTACGCAAACAGCGACAGGGAAGTCCTACCAGTGACCAAACAGGATTATAAAGATACTCTGACCACCCAGAGATGCCAAAGGGATTGCTCTCCTGCTCAGAGCCATCTGTTTCCCTCGAGGCCAGGACTCTGCAGTCTGCAGCCCAGGGAGTCAGTGGAGCCCAGCCTGCACCAGCCTGCAGCCCAAGCTCCGGAAGGCGGCTCCCTGTCCTCTCCACTAGGCTGCATGTTTCTTCTCTGGCTCTGCTCTGATGAATGCACTTCTTGAGAAAGTCGGTGGTAATTTGTTATCCAAAACCATGAGCACTGTTCACATACTGGATCCTGAGCAGAAGTGTCCCAAGGATTCTCTTTTCCCCAGGAAGCTCAAATCAGTCAGACCTCAGACAGTGGGCTCTGCCCTCTTGTCTCATTCGGCAGGGGCTGCCAGCAGGCTTCCCCACCAATGATGTGGCGTCAAAGCCAAATGCGATACCAACGTTGGCTCCTGGTCTAGAAGCATCTGCCTGTCCTTGATGGTTGCAGGTAGGGAGGGGAGAAGGAGGGAGCTGTGTGTAAGGGACAGGCTTGACCCCAGAAAACTCCGGGCACTCCATAAAGAAAGCTTCCGGTCTTCCCCTTTGAGAAACCACCAAATCTTGTGGTTGCTCAGTCCAAGCTCCTACCATAAATGGTGAATGTTAGTTTCTCAAAACCCAAATATGCAAAATCTCAACTCTTGGCCAATTCGTCCTGACCACTTGTACCTTTAGGTGATGTTTATGTGCTTGATGATTTATTCATTATAGCACTATTTAGTGTTCATTTATTATTGCTGTTCATTATAGAGAACTTCGGCCACTCATCTAAATTCTCATTCTACTAATTCAGATGATGAGATCAATAGTCACCCACTCAGCCTGGGAGAACACGGCTTTCTCTTTCATCACCTGGCAGAAGGAAACACGGCCCCTCCTGGGCAGGTGGACTCCTCCAAGTTACATGGGTGCTGGAGGCCCCAGGCTCAGTCCTGGGTCCATTGTTTCTCTCTGGGTCCCTATTACCTTGTCCTTGAAGCTGTAGGTTACAGGAAGCCAGGCACACACAGCTGTGTCAGGTTTTATTTTTTTAAGAAGGGGTCTATGCCGCACAGTTTCCCTATTTTGTCCAGGCTGGTCTGGAAGTACAGGGCTTGGGGGGATCCCCCATCATAGCCTCTGCGGTGGCTGGGATTACAGGTCCACCACCACACCAGGCTACTTAGTCATTTTCAATCATGCTTAAACATCACTCCTGAAGCCTGCTAGTCTTGCTGCTTCTGAATTGTCAGATTCTACCATTTACAAAGCTGCCCGCCTCTCCAGATGCATATTCAACCCAAAATCACTTTAACATTTTAAACTACACACAAAGTTCACCTATAAGCATTTATCTCATTTATATGTACTCTATTTTTTCATTTTTAAAAAATTTATTTTCACTTCTTCTGAAAACTGAGATATTAGACAAAGCTAGTCAACATTTCAACTTATTTCCTTGTCAACCACTTTTTATAGTCTGTGAATATCTGGTATCCACCTTACTAAGAACTTTGAAGCTTGATATATGGAAGTTTTCACCAACAACTCAGAAGGTCCACCTGTATATTAAACCAACACTAAATTAGTCTTCATCAAAAAATCACATGAGCAAAGATCTTTTTGTTTTTGCGGGGTTTATAGTTTTATAACTTTCTGTGCCAAACCCTGACCTCAAAATGTCTAGTAGAGACAAATACAAAACCCAGAAAAAAATGTATGTTGACCATTCTGAAGACATGTCTGTTCTAATTTTACAAATAAGTTTAAAGCCAGCTTGTTTACTAAATGTCTACTTAAGTCATGCGAAATTAAAATTATACAGTCTTAATTGATTTATGAGTTCTCTTTGATTTATAAGCAAATTTAGCAGATATATAACATAAAAAATACATAGACATAAACACATTTAAACACACGCAAACACACACACACACACGTGCGCACACGCACACACACACACTATCCAATAGGTTTTACCTCAGAAATCTAACCATGAGATAGCAATACAAACTCACTGGTGTGCAACGCTGTTCACATATTTAAGCTTTTTTTTTTTTTTTAACCCCATAGGTAATCTAACGAAGGCTTTGAATCAAAATTCAGGGTAAACTCATCTCCATGGCAGTTTGATTTTTAAAGGCCAAACCTCCCTGAACTGAAGAACGCTGGCGCCAAACAACACTCTTGGAGACCATCGTGTGCTAACCAGGCCCAACACTGCTTAGAACAGCAGTACAAAGCCTGAATACACACAAGTCCATTCCACATTCCCATTCCACAGCAAACTCCAGATTCCAAAGAATACTGGGGCCAAACCGTATTACAAAAGATTATCAATGTATCAACTTTGATTTCCCATGGCTACTTGAACACACACATAAAAACAATCTCCAAAACACAATCTAACTGCTACAGTAACAACCACAAGAATGTTTAAACAGAAACAGCCAGATTGCCTTCCTTGCTAAGTCGTTTGCAGTTATCCAACCTGCAAATGGAAATTCCCCTGGAATTTCCCAAATTGCGGCAGCAGATCTCACTCATCTGGACATTCACCCATCTGGATGCAGATGTCAGATTTCAAAGGCTGTTCTTCCTAGTCAATGAGAAACATGGCTGGGGCCAGGAGTGATGGGGCCATATACAGACTGAAACCCATCTCCAGCCAAAAGCAGATGGGCAGCAGCTTAGGGAATCTTCCAAAACTCTCCTGCCCCACATAGCTGAGCCATAAGCAACGCTTTCCTGGTGAGGAAACAAACACCTGCTAACAAAACAGAGGGGTTCTAAGTTCTGTTACTCCCTGCACAGAAAGCCCAGCAAGGAGACAATAAGCCTTGCCAGGGAGGGGGCTTTAACTGGGTGCCACAGCAGAGGAGATGGGAGGCCAGTCTCAAATCCACTTTTCTGATCCACTAAAATAAAGGGTTTATATAGTAGAAAAGAAATGTAACTACATGCAGGAAAACAGGAATTAGGGAGGTTTAAGGAGGAGGAATTGGTTAGCAGAAGTCACCATGGTTGAGGAATCTGGCATCTCATTGTCTGGAATGGTGATCTGGTAAATTTCAGTTCCTTGATGCTGAAGGTGTGTTTCCTAAGGAACTCAGATAAGACAAATGTAAGTTTCTCAAGTTTTAATACTGGGAAGGCCAATTTCTATGCTCATTCGAAAGAAACCATAATATCAGTTCTACGGGACAATTGGGCTGGCTTCTATCCAGCCTAGGAGTCAGGTTTCACCAGAGTGCAGGGCAGGGCATCCTTCATTTTCATCATGGCCCCCATTTTGGATGGCACCAAAATGACTTTCTATTATGAAATAGTGATCATACATTTTTTTTCTTTGGAAATCATATTTGGAAAATCAAAATATTTACAGTTATTAGTCTCACATAGCGCCAACCACAGGAATCTACAGTCTGCAACTTGCGGCACACTTACCCACCTTTTTCCTCCTGGAGGTGGGATGGGAACTAGGGGCCTGTCAAATGGTGGGACTGAAAGAGCTGGAACATAGACGGGGCTGAAACATGCCACCACTCACCACATTGTGGGTGATAGGAGAGAAGAGCCGTGGCCGTTCTAGGAGCCTGGACCTAGGAGTTCCCTGAGCCAGGGCCGTACCATGATTTAACATCCTGTGTGGGGCTCTGCGGTTCCTGGCACCTCCGAGCTTTCAGGCATCACTGCGTTCCCCTTGTCCAGATGCTGGTGCCTGCAGTGGAAGCTGATTGCAGTATGTCTGGTCTATCCACACACCCCGAAGGTGTCTGAGAAGAACCCTTGGGCTATGCCAGAATTGTCAGGGAATGGAGGGCCGCTGGGCCCTGAGAGATGGAGGGTGTCTGAGGGGAACTAAGGAAGGAAGAGGCTTGCAGAGGGGGCAACCCACTCCCCAACAATAAAGGAGAGGATGATATGCTGAAATATCAAATGTGAAGATGAAGACAAGAAGAAAATCCTCCAAGGTAGCAGATAAACCACGAAGCTACAGGAAAATTCCTCCACCCACAGCCACCTGCCCCGTAAATCCTGCTCAGTTCATGGGTTTGCAGAAAACCTCTGTAAGGTGGAGCCTGCATCCGCCACTTCACCAAGTGACCACCAGAGGGAAGCATTCACCCACGGATGAGCAGCCCCTTGGGCACCTGCTACTCCAGCTTCTTTCTGGAGAGCCGGCTTTGAAGGTGACCCCAGGGTTGACATAGGGTCTGCCTTGGAGGAATAAGTTTTGCAAACTAAACACTTCCTGAGCACTGTTCTGGGTTCTACAGAGTTTCCTCTACTTGGCTCTGTCCTTGTTACTCTGGACTACCTGAGTGTGCAGGGTTTTATTGATTAGAGCAATTGCCAGTAGATGGCACAGCCTCCTGTTCCTGCAGCTCTCCCCACTGCCGTTGCTAGACCTTCACAAGGCAGGTGACAATGAAGAATTGGATACTCCTATTGATGGTAGCAGTGGCCCATCTAGAGCAGCCACTGTGGGGATGCCAGCTGCCGCAGGAGGGGCATGGCTGGCACTGCATGCTCCTCAGAGTTGGTGGGGGCCAGGAACAGGTGGGAGCTCCAGGCTCCCAGGTACAGCTGTGGCCACCCGGCTGCAGCACCAAACCTGGACATCCCTGTGCTTTCAGGGCCTGGGAAGTCCTTAGTCCCCACAGGTTCAGAAGTGCCTGCTCCTGCTCCCTGGCCTCTCCCTGCACCCAGCACCTGCTGTGGTTCAGAGCAAAGTTGTAGCCGAGCCCTGGAGCTGTCACAACCCAGCTGGGTGTTTGCACACTTGAGGCAGTGCTGACATGCCAGCCCCCTGACACCTCAGCCCCCTACGGACTTTGGGAGCTGACTGGCATGGAATGCTGGTGGAGGCTGAGGGCAGTTTGGCATAGGCTTGCAGGCACTGCTCAGCATGAACAGCCTGGGAGCCATGGATGGCACGTTGATGGTGAGAGGGAGACAGGTTCCTGGGCAGAAAGGTGTGGGTCCCTGGTCAATTCCCACCTTCAAGCCGAGGACAGCCTGAAGCCTTGGCTGTCAGTTCTGGGTGGAGTCCACAGCCCAGAGTGAGAACTTATGGTGCTTTTCTTGTGCCTGCCCATGACCTGTCCGTGGACCAGTCAGCACACATTTCCTTCATTCCGAGCCTATAAAAACTCCAGACTCAGCCAGACATCAGGACTACTGGCTGTGGGAAGGAGTTACCCTCTTCAGGTCTCCTCAGCATCTTGGAACAAACTGTCTGCAGAAAGGAACTGCCCACCATGGCTCTGCTTTATGCTGAGGGCTGGACACTCTTGCGCTGACCTGCCTGTGGAGAGGAACTACCCATCTGAGGTCTCCTGAGAGCCGTTCTGCCGCTCAGTGATGCTCCTCCCCCACATTGTCACCATCACCCTCACCATGACCATCATCACCACCACCACCAGCGCTGATATAGTTTGGATGTTTATTCCCTCCAAATATCATGTTGAAATGTAATTCCCGTTGTCGGTAGCAGGGCCTAGTGGAAGGTGAATGGATCATGGGGCAGATCCCTCACGAATGGCTCAGCACCATCCCATGGGAATGAGTGCATTCTCACTGCGAGTTCACGAGAAATCTGGGTGTTGTCTTGCTCACTCTTGTTACATGACATGCAAGCTCCCATTTCGTCTTCCACCACACATGACTGTAAGTGTCCTCAGGCTTTCACCAGAAATAGATGCTGGAGCCATGCTGGTATAGCCTATACAACTCTAAGCCAATTAAACGTTTTTTCTATAGAAATTGCACACCCTCGGGTATTTAAAGCAATAGAAGAATGGCTTTATATAATCATTACTATGACTGTGGCCACCACCATCACGGTCATTATTACCACTTTCATCACCATTACATCACCACCATCGCCACCATATTATCATTGTCACCATCACCACTGTCATCACCATCACCATCACCATCACCACGACTACCCAGCATCTCTCAGCAACTACTGTGCATTAGATAGTGTGCCACGCTCTTTATAAATCTCATGTGGTAACATCCTCACCCTCAGTGTATACATTTATAGAAAAAAACAAGGAGGTAGTTGGATTTGTAACATGATAGGAGTGTGTGAACCTGCTTTGGATTCCCAGAACTATCTGTAATCAATAAAAGAGAAGGCTCACTTCGTTTCTCAGCTCCCACATTGCTGGACGCTGCCTACAAAGGTCTGATCTGGACATCCACAGTGCCATTGTCACTGGTCCACTGGGCTCCGCCCTCGGATTCTGTTTCCTTGGTTCCAGCATGTTCAGAAAGCTGTATCTCCCACCACACGAGACCCAGGCATCTTGCCCTCTGTGGTCGTCATCTTGCTTTTGCATATAATGTGGCTTGGCCTCAAAAGAAACTGGACTTCATTATATTCAGCACATGTATACCTACCTGTCCAGGCTCACATAAATTTGTCTTTATGGAAAGACACATGTACCTGCCCAATCCTCCCTGGATTTCGCCCCTCCAAATCCTACCTGCTCCTCAAGTTCAGGCCTACATAAATGTTATCCATGGATTCCTCCCTGGTCAATGTAGCCAGGTGTGAACTTTCTGAGTTTGCTCTCCTACAGCACTTTTATGTTCACTAGAGGCTTTTACATCATCCTCTTAGAGTCTTTCTACTTGCTTGTGAATTTCTGTCCCTCACCAGGCCAGGAGGTCTTGAGGGGGGCAGCAACTAAGTTCCTCCATGTGACCTGTCTCAGAGATCACTGAGATAATCACAAACAAAAACAAGCCAGTAATAATGATAGTACTCTCACAATAGTATGTAATATACATTATTATATACAATATAATCATCACCATCTCACACTAACTGCTTAGTAGTTACCATTAGTGTCTCCATTTTACCGATAAGGAAGCTGAGTCACAGAGAGGTGAAGGAAATATTTGAAATTTACACAGCTTGTAAACGGACAACCAGGATTTTAACCCGTGTCATCTGGTTTCATGCTCTTGCCATGAGGTTAGATGTTCCAGCAGTCTGCTGAGCTGAAAATCTTTGACATTTGAGAGATTTTATGATGGGCCACAGTTAAGCTGCTTTTGAGATAGTGGATGGGGCCCTTTTAACTCCAGGGTCATTGTCCCTTCATATGGAACTCATGCCAATTCACGGCCATGTGTCTTGGCCCAGATGCTCCTCCTTTTTGGAACTCCCTTCCCCTGCGTCACTTCATTGATTCCTCTTCATCCTTTGTGACTCCCCAGGTACTATATTTTCCATAAACATGACTGTCTAGATCGACCTACCCGGAAGCAGAAACAAATATGCAATTGCAAGAGTTTTATTTGGGAGGTCGTCGCAGGAAAGACTTCTGAAGCAGTGAGGAATTGAGGCAAGGGAGAGAAGTGGTCAATACAGCAAGTGTGAGTTTCCAGGCTACTGCCATGGGCAGGCGGGACTCATTTCCACTGGGAACTTCTGGGAGATTGCGTAGAACATGTCTGCCGGTTCATCGCTTGGGTGAAGAACGTGCAGGGGCATTAGCTCTCTCGCGCTTAGTTGTTCTATGTGCACAGGAAAATCGGTGCAGATGCTGGTGATTGGAATGTGGGCTGCTAAGTGCCCAGGAAGTGAGGACCAACCAAGGGATGTGGGCTTGTCCTTTTCCCCCAGTCCTCTCTGTGGGTTTAGTGCCCTTCTCTGTGCTCTCCAGTGCCCTATTCTCTCCTCTGATTTCCACTTGCCTGTCTACCACCCAAAATTCAAGAACGGAGGACTTGGCTCTTTTGCTTTCCTTTCTGCAGCACCCGACTTTGTTTGTAGCATAAAATGTATACTCACCAAAGACAGTAGGAGTGTGGACATTAGGCTCGTTCTAGGAAAAGTCTGAAAAACTTTTATAAACCTTTATTTAGAAATATTAACTTACAGAGAAACTCTTGAATAATTAAAAGAAAAATATTTTATAAAAGTTGCAGAAATTAAAAGGAAATTGCTTTGTGTAATGTGTAAAATCACCCCAAAATTTAAAATGCATAAAAAGGAAATGAGAGAGAAGAGGCCCAGAAGTAAAATAAGATAGAAATGAAGATGAATCACAGGTGCTATGAACAAGGAATTCTTTCCCATTGAACAAGGAATCAGGTAGGAGAGGCAACCAGTAGCCACATGTTGGCACCCAGGCGGTTCTAAGTGGGTCCAGGTAACTTCGTCCTCTTGGCATCTTAGTGAATTCGGTGGCTGAATGAATGAAACACGTGAGTGATCACCCAGGTACTCTGTCCCAGGTGATACTTGACTGCCCAAAGATGAGTAAAATGTTTTTCTGTGTACTTTAAGGAATTTTTTAAACCCTACATTTCATTATACTCCTGTTAGGTGGTTTCAGGGTCCCTATGTCCAGGGTGTCCAGGGAAGGGGCGGAGGTGGGCAGGGATAAAGTGAGGTCTGAGCTCTGCTCGTGCCTGTCTGGTAGCTGCTATGTGGGCATTTATGGTAGGTGGGCATTTGTGGTGGTTGTTAGGGTTGTCCCTGATGACTTCTGTTTCTTGTGAGTGCAAGACAGGGCTTTCCTTCCCTTTTGAGTTTGTTGCAGTCATCACCTGCTTTATTCAATGTAATAGAAGAATAAGTGACGTGTTATTTCTAGTTATGCTAGGGAGTGCAGGTGCTCACTGCCTTAGACCCTTTGTTATTGTGATGGTGTCTTCATCATCCTGAGCCCCAGAGTGACATAAATGGTCCAGAGTCCCCAGCATACATGCCGTGCATCTGTGGAAATATCTGTCACAATAATAGAGTGTTACATTGCTGCCTTAAGCCACTGAGATTGAAGGCTTTTTAAAAATAATTTCAAATTTAGTTTAGATTCAAAGGTTGCATGTGCAGGTTTGCTACTGTGTGGCACTGTGGTTTGGAGTTTG